TACGTTTTAAGACGCATACTGTAATACGAATACGATAAGATCTAAACTATAAAACATATACGAGAACTGTCAAAGCGCTGACCAAGCGCTTTAACATTACATACTCACAGATCGATACCCTGGATTATTCTGTTCAAAAGTGGCTGTATTTATGCGAGTCTGGGATTGTCACGTGACTTTAGTAGTGCTACGAGTTTTTAGTGTAGGTTAATGATGTCTAGACCAGTGGTCATCCTGACCACTGTCGTGATTTCCATGAGCGATTTCGTGATTTCCATGAGCGTAGCTCTGGTGTGATTGGGAAATAAAAGTTTAAATCACCTGGTCTGATTTAATGACATTTTGACAAATGACTTTGTACTCGTGAACAAAAATAAAACACGTCATTCAAATTGCATCTGTAGCTACACTTAAACTTGTAAAAATTATTCAGAGATCGTTAATTTGTCAAGTTTTACGACCTAAATTATATCTGCAGAGCTAGGATCATCGTTAAATACCATCCCGGGACAAGCATTAACAGCTGAGCATTTTTTATGAAACAATCAACATTCATCGGCATCATTCTCCTAGGAACCGGAGTTGGCACACTTGTTTGGCCGATCCTCATAGAATACCTCCTAGAAGAATACTTGTACCAAGGAACATTTCTCATCTGTGGCGCGATATCATTTAACCTCCTCGTCGCTGCAAGTTTATTTAGAAATTTTAAGAACCGCCGTTGGACTCCCGTGTCGCGGAAACAAGTAACAATGTAGAAACGAGTGCGTCAGCCAGTAAACCACCATCATGTTTCGCCAGGATTCAAAATTCTATCAAAAATAGCAGGCCAATTTTGGACAAACGCGTTCTAACAGATTCTATCACTTTAGTGTATTGCGTGACGCTGTTTTTTGTTCAAATTATCTACCAATCTATTTTCATTCTGCTGCCCACGCGAGGCGAGGAGATAGCAGACAGTGAGGGCTTCAGTGCGGCTACACTGGTGTCCACCATTGGTCTTTCTGAGACCATCTTTCGGCTTCCATTGGGCTCCATGTGGGACATCAGCTTCTTGCGCAAACTCACTCGCAGGCTGGCGGGTCTAACAGGGTTCATCTTTTTTATGGGATTATTCGTAATCATCTATCCTTGGATGCATACCACGGAAATGCAAATTGTAAACAGCGGCATCTTGGGAGTAGCCACCGCCGGGTACATGACAACGTCTTTTATCGTTCTGCTGGATATGTCTGGTGTGGATCTGTATAAGGACGCTCTAGCACTGCAGCTTATGTTTAGCGGACTAGCATCTCTCATTGGACCGGTGACAGTAGGTATGTTCACGCTTATATGCCATATACATATAATATAATGTTTGAACTTGTTTTTAAAACAACATGTTCACTAATAGTTTCTGTGGAGATCTGTGCAAGGACATAATATTATGTACCTGCCCATGAAGGTATTTGACACAGAAAAATCTAGCAATTGTCGAAAATATACAAAGAAAACTAAATGTAGAACATAGACATAACAAAACAGACACCTGATTTAGTTATCAAAAATAATTAGGTAAGTTCAAGTATCTGCAATTTTACCCAAGCGTGTACTTCATATAATTGGACGCGCGTTTTATTTCACGCAGGTTGGTTGCTGGATATAACCGGAGACACGACACTTTAATTTCCTTCTACTTCATGGGTATTAGCTGCATGGTGTGTGTGGTTATCCTATGTGGGTTACTATATCGGCTGACCAGGATAAAAGATGTACAGACCACCGCCTTAGTTGATAGCGAATCACAGATAGATGAAGGTGAACATTCACCACTTAACAAGTTCAGATTTACCAAATACCTTTGAAATTCGAACGCAGGTGTATGTATAATTTTACAAACTCAGTAGATTTTCAATTTAACTGGACATCAGATCAGAAGGCATTCGTGAATAACTTGCGCCTTATGCATATTAGAGCCTTTTGTTCAAGCGCCAGTGTCACGCCGTTTAGTTTATTTAGACAGAGTCAGCAATCAACGACTCAAACTTAGTGGGCGACGCGTGTGAAAGGCGGAGTATAGTTGATGATCTGATTATTACCTACATGTAAGAGTAGAACGTCGATGCATAATTACCCGTACGTTCATGGCAACGAGTGAATGCCACAGCTCTAATGACACTACTGTCTAGAGTGAGACTAAAGAACTGAGAGCAGAGTGACTACTAGCAGACAGACTGAATGATACTCACCTAGATGTTACCAGAGCCTGTTTAGAACTACGTCTCTAGTAATAACTCTACTCAAAGGCAGCACTTATAATATCGCTACACTGAGGTGCTACGGCTGCGGTGACTTTGCAAGGTGCTTAAGCGATACTCCAGCTAGGCTATTTCTATGGCGACTACTTCAAAAGAATACTTCTGCCCGGACTCTACTGCAAAGCTTCTTTTTTGTTATTGCTATATGACTTAATACATTATCAATGACGATGCTGAAAGACTGCCAGAGACTTATAGTGACTGCTTTGCCTTGGTGGAGACATTACCTCAATCATATCTTACCACGAGCAATCATGATGGGCTACTTCTGCGATACGCATGTCTTAATGACTCAGCAATCTCTACGTTGAAACTCCATGTACTTCGTAACTGGCTATGCTAGGAGACTATAATGGACTCGGTGACTGATATGGTCTTTTAAACATAATAACCGCAGTTTATGTATAGCTTTGTTAAGTAGATTTAAGCCACGGTAATTACTTAATTGGTATCTCCAAAAAGCAAGAAATGAAACGTTTTGTTGGGTAGATGCACCCTACGGGTAACAATGTTTGAAGTCAACGAAAATTAGGTTAATTTAATAATCCATCATAGTACTGGGCTTTCGCCATTAAATGTACTATTAACAAATAATTATTCAGATTTAATTGTATCAAATGTACTAGTTAATTGTTCCACGTGAGACATGAGAAATCGTAGTATTTTATACGCGTATAAGGACAACGCACAACGTTAGATTGATAACTTGATATTTTATCTTTCTTCAAATGCAGTTTATTACTTAAACAACTTTTATTACTCAATCGTTTGCTATAAAGATAAATTTATGGGCGCCATAAATGTTTTGAATCGAGCCATATAGTATATGTTAACTGCGTAACGACAGACTATCCACACAGCAATAAATCCAGTCATTATAAAGATCAACATACAACCTTTACCTGCCTGGCGTATGTGTAATCAAATATATACATCGTGGGCGGGGTTACAAGGGTTCTGTATGGAAAGATTAAGGTAAATGAGACGAGACGTGGGGAGCGGGAGGGTTGATGAATACAACATGTGTTTTTAGAGAAGTACGGTTGAATGCTGATTGATTCTGTATTTTATATTCTGATGTATACCAATTCAAACATAGTATACGAGTATGCATTTCACTTGTTTTTTCTAACCCAGCAAACGAGCTTTTGTAGAGGAAAATAATCTAAAATATATGGCGCAAATATAATTGTTTCATTTCATTAAACAGTTTAGGTGTAATCGTAACCCCAATCATGATTTCTGGACATTTTTTCGTTATCAAACATTTTATAAAAATGTCTGCTACTAATACTATTCTGGTAGCAGGCCGGGATGTGGTACATACTCCATTGGTTGTTGCTAGAACACGGGCGTCGAAGGAGGGTGCCGTTACGTGGCAGCACTAGTCACTTAGTACGCTTCAAAGTCCAAATCTTCCACGGAAAGATTCCACAGTCATACTTCCGTGCTAGACATGGCCTTATATCCCCAACCCTAACCCTAACTCTAATCCTAACCCTAACCCTAACCCTGACCCTAACCCTAATCCTAGCACAAGTGCAGCCACATCACGTGACCCTCCTTCGATGCCCTTGTTCTTGCAAATCCCTACTCCATTGGTCATATATCACACAGCGCCACCTATAAATGTTCTCACATGAATGAACATTTCTTATTTTGTAGTGCTATATAATGTTCAACCTTCTAGTAGCAACAAACTATATTTAGGGACTTGCGAGAAAAGATACCCGTCTCGTACGCTATACAAAAGAAACGCGCAATAAACGTCGCGTGATTGCGCAATACATCGAGTGTTAAGCTTGTATTTGCAGCGAGTGACGTCCACAGCGTGACCTTTTAGAGGACGAAGCCACGATGAGTCCGCAAACCTGCGCCGACGAGGGCGACACCTACACATGCACCGAGTGAACTATCCTTAATCGCGTGTAAAACCGTTATATATTGAGTTTATAGACGGTTTACAGTATGTCTATCATTTCACCACTAAAAATCACCGTTCGTCGTGTAGACGTCTCGTCTACATCTGTCATTGTCATATACATTGTCACGTCTCGGCTACGTTGCTGGGATATAATTGTACACCTCAAATATTGACAAAAGGCAATGAACCCGCACTTCTCGTTGACTTAGTATATTTACTAGTCGTAACTTAGGCACAAAGGGTCGTTGTCGTATAGGGTACTACATATATGTACCCGAGGTAACTATCTGATATGGTTAGGGTTAGGGTTAGGGTTAGGGTTAGGGATAAGGTGTAGGCGTAGGCGTAGGTGACATATATGTACCTCGGGTACCCTATACGACAACGACCCCTTCATCGTTACTTAGCATAGACTTAGTGCAATTTATGCTTGCCGAGTTTACAAACTGACCTATAGCTTATCGCATGTGATATGATTGTAAATGGCCTGAATAATCGGTACCGAAGATCGGCACAGCAGCGCTATAGTCAGACATATAATATAGACACATGCATATGTTCGGACATAGATGTGCTTCACATATTTGTATGCGTGGCTGACTGCCAGCTGGATATATATCACTCTGCGCAGCATTTAGCGCTATTTATTGCGCGAAGTGCAACGACAGTTTTTGATGCAGCCGACGACAAATGTTATACGATAACGACTGATAGTAAGTCCTCACAGTGATGGTAGACGTTATCACGAATGACATAAGTACAGCGACCACGCCACCTTACTGTACGTCACCAAATAGGACAGCAGCAGCGATCGCGAGCAGAGAAGAAATTCTCTTGTGGAACACAAAGGGAATTGATGATGGTTAGAAAAAACAGTGAAGACAAACCACCACCAGATGGAGGTTGGGGCTGGCTGTGTGCTTCCGGGGGGTTCGTGGTGTACTTCTTAACAGCAGCTCAGCTAAGAGCATTCGGTGTGTTTCTCCCCGTACTCACTAAGGAATTCGGTACTAGCAACGCACTGACGGCATGGGCAAACGGAATCGCAACCGCCGCTCTTCTAATGCTAAGTAAGTATAGCATGCGGCTTCGTGCGTTCTAGTATAGTTTGCTCACGCGTTTCATGGTAAAATTGGGCATAGCGTATAACATTGGTAGCTTTCCCGGATAGGGGGAGACACTCCTATTGTAAAGGTACTGGACGTACGTGCCGCTGGACAGTGGTAATTTTCCGAACATCATATGCGCACAGCTTAGGGTATATTTTCCCGAACCATCGTTTATTGGCACAGGTTATCTAGATATACACCATGCAAGCTGATATTAAGGACCAACATTGGCAAAAAACAATATTGAACCAATATAGGCAGATATTGGTTCAATATAGGCAGATGATTGGTCCAATATCGCACTAATATTGGCAGAACAATATTAGGCCATAGTCACCATGCCGATTTTGAGCCAATATCTTGCCTATATTGGCAGGAACAGCACATAACTAAAAATGTGGCAATATTGGCAACGGTATACTTTTATGGGCAGTATATTGGACATGTGTATTTTGCGGAGCGGCAAAAGCGTTTGCGAGCAGGGTCAGGTTTTCAAAGGTCCCGCGAGGCACCCCCCCGCTATCCAGTTTCCGAAGGCGAGGCCCCCCCCCCCCGGTAGCTTTATGAGACCACGAAGCACGCTCTAGTTGTTAACTCGTGCCTTAAAATGACTACGTCACCATAAATAGTAAAAGTTAAAAAATACATTTTTACTTTTTCACAAAATGTAAATGATTCTGTTCGCTTAGTATGGTAAAAATTGATGCATTATACTTCCTATTTTGCTATTCTGTCCGATGTGAACAAACCCTCGTGCATTTTATGTCATTATCAAATATATCAAATCGTTCAGACTTTTTGGATTTTCAACTAGTTGTTTTGCTAGGATACATTTAGTGCTTTTAGTACTTACTTTTCCTGTAAAAAAATTGAAACAACAATTTTATAAATATACACGATAGAAAATTCGTAACGTAGTCAATTTATTAGTAGCCATAATTTAGGGGTGACAAGGGATTGTGGAATGCCTCGTTCGTGGTACGTATTGCTTACGTTGTGCTATTCCACTTTAGTTTTGTTGTTCGTGTATGAAGTTAATGTCATAGTCTTTTGCACAATTTATCATAATTCATCGCCTCAGCTCGATATGAATGAGGTTTTTCTCTTCAGCGCCATTGGCGACGGCGCTGTGTCACAGATACTCCTACAGGACAGTTGCTATACCCGGTGCAATCATCGCTGGCGTAGGAATGTCCCTAGCCTACTTTGCCAAAGGTCTTCCGGTCCTCTATCTTACTTATGGACTGATGTTTGGTAAGAGTAAATGTAGCAGCTCACCGTTGTACTTCCGATTTAATCCAGGCGAATTTATTATTAATTTTTTATAAATTTAATATTTGTGTCGGATATCTCGCTGCTATTATTTGATGATTTGTTGTCATCTGATTATTATGTAATTATGTAAACCAGGTACACATTCGAAAATCACTCTAGACATATAGCCGCCCAGCCATGAAATCTTCAGTTTAAATAAAAGTTTAAATCACCTGGTCTGATTTAATGATATTTTGACAAATGACTTTGTACTCGTGAACAAAAATACAACACGTCATTCAAATTGCGTCTGTAGCTACCCTTAAACTTGTAAAAATTATTCAAAGATTGTTAATTTGTCAAGTTTTACGACCTAAATTATATCTGCAGGGCTAGGATCATCGTTAAATACCATCCCGGGACAAGCATCAACAGCTGAGCATTTTGTTAAGAAACAATCAACATCCATCGGCATCATTCTCCTAGGAACCGGAGTAGGCACACTTGTTTGGCCGATCCTCATAGAATACCTCCTAGAAGAATACTTGTACCAAGGAACATTTCTTATCTGTGGCGCGATATCATTTAACCTCCTCGTCGCTGCAAGTTTATTTAGAAACTTTAAGAAGAGACCTCCACCAGACTCCCGTGTCGCGGAAACAAGTAACAATGTAGAAACGAGTGCGTCAGCCAGTAAACCACCATCATGTTTCGCTAGGATTCAAAATTTCATCAGAAATAGTAAGCCCATCGTGGACAAACGCGTTCTAACAGATTCTACCACTTTAGTGTATTGCGTGACGCTGTTTTTTGTTCAAATTACCTACCAATCTATTTTCATTCTGCTGCCCACGCGAGGCGAGGAGATAGCAGACAGTGAGGGCTTCAGTGTGGCTACACTGGTGTCCACCATTGGTCTTTCTGAGACCATCTTTCGGCTTCCATTGGGCTCCATCTGGGACATCAGCTTTTTGCGCAAACCCACTCGCAGGCTGGCGGGTCTAACAGTGTTAATCTTTT